CTCGGCTACTCGGAAGGCTGAGGCAGAAGGATCACCGGAGCCCAGCAGGTCGAGGCTGGGGTGGCCGGGAGCGGCCACTGCACTCCAGTCTGGGTGACAGAGTGAGACTCCAACTCAAAAGAAAGAAAGAAAGTAAATTTAAAAAAAAGAAGTCTGTCCTTTCTACTTGGAAGGCTGAGATGGAAGGATCACTTGAGCCCAGCAGGTCAAGGCTGTGGTGGCGGTGAGCCTGCCACTGCACTCCAGCCTGGGCGACAGAGTGAGACTTAACACCCATCCCTCACGTTAGATTCGGAATTCCTTGAGGACAGGGGTGCTGTCATTAATATGTATGTCCTTAATACCAAACCCAGGGACTAGAACAAAGAAGCTACCCAATAACCATTTGTAGGATAATTTAAAGTGTTTTTTACCACTTTTCTGAAATTTTACCTTTTAACAGGTAATATCCCCTGGTAAAGCGTCCATTAAAATAAAGTATAATTTACAAGCCACTAGTGTTAAAATGTCACCAAAAAACTAAACCAAAAAAGATGCAGAGTAAGTCTGGGTTTGGGCTTAGGAATATTTTGATGTTTGAGGTTTGTTGTAGTTACATAGATTGAGGAAATATTTCGACTTTGCTCTGGTTAACAACTTAGCTGTTGCTGTGTGCTAAGTACCTGAGTAAAGGAAATAGAGCAGAATAAATACTCTTCAGTCCTTATCCTGCAGGAATTTACAGTCTACGGGGACACACACACACACACACACACACACACACACACACACACCAGAAGAGAATTGCACAACACCAGGGTGCGCACAACACCAGGGTGCGCAGCAGCAGGGAGAAGTTCCAGTCAGGAGGTTCCAGTTGTGAGGACCGAGGAATTCCTCAAGGAAAATAGAACTTAAGCCGAGATTTGAAGGATGGTTAAGACATTGGTAAGTGGGACTATGGAAAAGACATTCCAGGCAGAAAGAAAAACAGCCTGGCTGGGCACGGGGCTCACGTCTATAATCCCAGCACTTTGGGAGGCCGAGGTAAGAGGATTGCCAGAGCGCAGGAGTTTGAGACCAGCCTGGTGACTTGGCCAGACCTCGGGTCTACAACAAATAAAAAAAGTAGCTAGATGTCAAGGCACATACCTGTAGTCCCAGCTACTTGGAAGGCTGAGGTGGAAAGATGGCCTAAGCCCAGCAGGTGGAGGCTGCAGTGGCCCTGAGCATGCCACTCCCCTCCATCCTGGGTGACAGAGTGAGACTCTAACAACAACAACAAAAAGCCAGCCCAAGGAGTGGTTCAGAGGTGGGGGAATGCCAGGTGTACCCAGCGAGGGTAGAGTGACCATCATTGGAGCCGTGGATGCCAGCAGAGGGTGTAATGGGAAATAACTTTGGACATCCAAAGGCAGTTAAGGAGACTGGGGATTTAGGATTTTATTTAGAGCTGGTTCTGCTTCACATGTATTTGCTCAAATTAAGAGAGTTTTGATTTAGGAAGAAATTTAGTAAAAAAGAAAAGAAGGAACGAAAAGCAAGCACTTATCTCAGTGAGATTCATAATTCAGCTGTTAATACAATATTTAGATTTCAGTCTAAGAATGCTTACCGGGAGAGAAAGAAATGTGTTGAAAAAATCGGCAAAGATTTCATCCTCTAGCAGAATTATAAGATTTGTAGAACCGATTATCTCTATATGGAGACAAGGAATAAAGAAAAGCAAACCAGGATTGCATTCAGGTGAAGAAAATGAAGCAATTGAATATATCATTTAATATGGCCGAATCTTGGAATGATGAGGACTTCAGGGTCACCTAACTTAATTTCTCCCCTTGGTCAGGACTTTTCTCTACACCATTCGCTTATATGTTCCCAGCTGCAGGGAGCTCACTGCCTCATAGGGCTACCCATTCCCTTTGTGAAGAGATGAAATGGTTAGAGCTATTTTTCTTACTGTGAACTACCTTCCTTTACCTTCTTTCTGTTTGTAGAAACTCTGCCCTCTGAAGCTTGACAGAATTCACCTAAGTCCTTATAAAAGGGACAGTGCTACCAATATTTATAAAGACATCATGAACTTCTGCTCACTTCCTCCAACCACTCTGCTAGTCACTAAGCAATTCTTCAGTCATGGGTCCCATGGCCTCCCTCCCATCTGGCTCCTCTCTCTTTGGCTGGAGTGGCACCCACAGCCGAGCACTCATTCTGAATGTTTCCCAGGGCAGAGCATGTGACAATTAACTGTTGGCTGTGTTGCATCTCATATAGCGTGGCTGGAAACTGGGTTAGCCATTGGGTCTCTCACATTACACAGTCAACTCCAATGTGCTTTATTTACAGTCACCTTTCAGACATCACGGGCAGGAAGTTACATTGATTCCAGTCAAATTTCAACTTGTTCGTTTGGGTCCAACATCACATTTTGATATTCTTGAATACTGATTTGGTCATGTAACATATTTATTACTTCTCTCAGGTTTGATCATTGTGCTGCCAAGTTAATCTAAGCAGATAAAGGTTGAATGACGTGAAGCCAAGCATAGAGACGCCAGGTGAGCTAGGCAACTCTTCCAAATTTAATTCACTATCTATGCTCTTTAGAGCACAGTGTTCAGCTAGTGAATAATTAGCCAATTGTTTTATCAATGGCCCAATTTTACTCTCTCATACTCAAAAGTTCACCATGAAAGACTGTAAAATGGGTCTAAATATAACACACAAGGCTTCTCTCTTTTGCTAGTGAAGCATCTGATAAGGATGGCAAATGCCTCTCACAGTCAGTCAATGGCAGTTATGATAACACATGAAAGCTAAACAATCACCTCCGTCACTTTTCCTGATGACATTGAGTGGCTATTGGCTTCATATAATAGAAACAGAAATAGAAACCCCAAAATCAAGCACTGTCATGAGTTACAGAGCTGATGCCAGCATCTGTCCTCTGTCCCACAGACATCTTTTCTCTTCCTGTTAAGTGCTATAAATGTGTTTTCTTCCTGTATCCTTCCCCAGCCCTCTGCTCTTCTTTTTTTTTTTTTTGAGTTGGAGTCTCACTCTGTTGCCCAGACTGGAGTGCAATGGCCGCTCCCGGTCACGGCAGCCTCGACCTGCTGGGCTCCGGCAATCCTTCTGCCTCAGACTTCCAAGTAGCTGGAACTATAGGCGTGCGCTACCACGCCCTGCTCATTTTGATTTATTGTAGAGATGAGGTCTCACCAAGTTGCCCAGGTGGGTCTCGAACCCACGGGCTCAGGCAATCCACTCACCTCAGCCTCCCAAAGGCGTGGGATTACAGGCTGAGCCACCCAGCCCGGCTTCTGCTCTTCTTCTTATGAGCAGTCCCTGATTTATTCTTCGCAGATGATTCCAAAATCTGTTTTCAGTCCACACTTCTCTCCTTGACTCAAGCTTTAAATATCCAATGAGCTATAGAACATCTCTACATGCACGTCCATCAAGTACTGTCAGCTCAATGTGTTCACCATGTCCAGCCTCCTCCCAACCTTTTCCTATATTCCCAGTCTCAGTTACTGGAACCATCACGCATTCAACTATCTAAACCGGAAACCTGAGCGTGCGCCCTCCCTCCCTCCCTCTCTCTCCTCTGTCTCTCTCTCTCTATCTCTGTCTCTCTCAGCATCTCTCTCTTTCACTCACTCCCTCTCCCCTCACTCTTGGTCTCTCGCTAGTGCTCTCTCCCTCTTCCTCCATCTCTCCTTCCCTCCCTCCCTCTCACTCTTGCGCTACACACACACACACACACACACACAC